TCATAATAATCATTTGAGGCAAGTCCAGAGCCCTAAAATAAACATAATGCAATGTGCTTACATTTATAAATTGTTTGATTCTTCATTGTCCTCAGCTTACATTTAAATCAGGCCGTTTTCCCCTGATACTTTTTTTTTTTAAATTCAAATGGCTCTAGAAGCACTCTTTTTTTTTTTTTTTTATTTTTTTTTTTTTTATTTGACAGAGAAAGACACATTGAGAGAGGGCCAAGGGGGAGGGGGAGAGGGAGAAGCAGGCTTCCTGCCGAGCAGGGAGCCCGATGCGGGGCTTGATCCCAGGACCCTGGGACCATGACCTGAGCCAAAGGCAGATCCTCAATGACTGAGCCACCCAGGCACCCCACCCTGCTGCCCTGATACTTAACACAGCTCATTCACCTCGCTCCAGTTTTAGTTGGAGTATGCTCAGAGAATGCAAAGTAACATAATACAAGCCTCAGCAAAGTAGAATTAGAAAGTTAATCTCCAGAAAAAGAAACATACTGAATTCCAGAGTGAAATATTGGACAACTTTTGGGTAATCGATTATTGGATTATCCTATACCATCCTTACTCTCTTTTAACACATGAACTTGGAGTTGATGAACCAGCATTGTCTAATCACAGCAAACACCAAGTCAAGAGCCGAAATTTGTCCTGGATCCCATTCTGTAATATATTACCCTGTAACAACTCTTTCTGCCTCATTTTATCTTTTAAAGAAAAACAATGGTATTTTTAGATAAAAATAAATTGAAAATGGTGAGGCCCTTAGATGAAAAGTACCATTTTGATATCGTGTTACTATTTTTGTCCTAGGTACAGACTATAAAGTCCTTGACATCACAGACCATATTATTCATCTTTATATCCTCTGCAGCTCCCAGCAGAGCATGTTGCACAGATTAGCTATGCAATGGGTATTTATTATAGAACATAATCAAAAGATGGTATAAATTAACTTTACCTCAGGAAAATGAAAATGAGTACATAAATAACAAGAAATAACAGAAACCGCATTATATATTTAGATCCTCTTCAGTTCAGGGGAATATGGTATCAGGGGTATTATAAATCACAATGCCTTCTTTTTATTTATTTATTTATTTATTTATTTATTTATTTATTTATTTATTTATTTTTATTTTTTTATTTTTTACAATGCCTTCTTTTTAAACAATTTTATTGGATTTTTTTCAACTGCACTGAAACAGCCCTTAGCAATGAACTAGAAAGTTGTCTGTAAGCATGTGAAGCAAGGATCCAGTTTCATAGACTTTTCTTTCTGGTCCCCACTTTTTTTTTTTTTCCTGGTCTGGTAGACAAGAACTATTAGGTATCCAGAAAAAGGAATTAAATTTCCTTTAAAAATCAGAGTGGGAAAAATGATACAAGTGTAATCCCTGGCCTCTCAAGAGAAAATGTTCTTCAAGTACTAAACCTTGGTCTCAAAATTGAGAATCAAGAAGACTTCTTTTCCCCAGCTAACCCTGAGGTGAGCCTAGGAGTTTCACTTTAAGCAGTGGACCTGAGATGAAAATCCCAAAACCCTCTCAAACCACATCTTAGCATTAAATTTGGGAAAAGAGGAAGTACAGCAATGTGGAGGGGACTGAACTTTCCCAGTAGAACCAGTTATTCTCTCTGGAACTTAAATCTTTATGCAGCTCTGTGATGCACAAATTGGGGTTTTCTCACCTTTAAACCCCCTTTGGGGGTTAATGTATATTAGGTGTCCAATAAATGTTTATGAAATCCAGTTAAAGAAAAGCCTTCTCAAACCAATCATCAAGTAGGTGAATGCAGAACTCCTGTGAGATATTACAAATGAAAATACAGCCTTCCAGAGATATCTTCATTTCAAAAAGTATCTTTGAAAGAAATGTGGTTGCTGTTGCTAATGCTTCAATACACTGACATATCGAGAGGTCCTCGTGCCCAGTTGGTGGGTACAGAGAATGAGAAATGGGACAGACTGTATTCATGAGCAGGGCTGAAGATGCCTTTGCAGGGAGGGAATTTCATTTTTCCTTCATTCTCAAAAAGCTTGAGTGCAGCCCAGCCTCCTCCACCCAGTGAGCGTCTCTTTGGACCAAACACATTGGCCCAGATTGTTTTTCCACCTCTGTTGAAGCCATCAAGTCTTATGTGCTCTCCTGTCCTGCTTTCAGCTGTGTTTCAGATGACTCCGTGAAGCAGTACACGTCCCGGGACCACCTAGCAAAGCACTTCCAGGTCCCTGTCTTCAAGTTTGTGGGCAAAGACCACAAGGTGAGCTGAACACCTTTACCTTGGAGCCCACACTGCACCCCCTCCCTCACCCCCAGACCTGAGCCTCGTTTCTTGGCGTGCCAATTTGTTGACATTCTCTGTGAGCCCACAGTTAGGATCTGCATTACATCTATGAAAAATACTGTAGAATTGGCTATCTAGAAGCTTCATACCTTCATGAATGTCACAATTACCTGCCTCCCTCCCAATAAAATCACTGTGTTTGTTCAAAGAAAATACTATATGATCATAATTTTATTTTTTTAATTTTAAGTTCTATTTCATTTAAGTCATTTTTCTAAGCCCAACGTGGGGCTCTAACCCACAACCCTGAGATCAAGACCTGAGCTGAGATCTAGAGTCAGATGCCTAACAGACTGAGCCACCCAGGCGCGCCTGTATGATCATAATTTTAAGCTGTTGTGGGCGGGTATGGTTGAAAAAAGCTGTGTGTTAGTCATATGGCAAAGGATATGGGCAGAAAATTCACAGAAAAGACAAACGGTGAATTGTTCAGTGAAAACAGTACTTAAAGTGCCAATTAAAACGATTATAAGACACTATTTTATACATATTAATTTTATAAAAACTATAAATCTCAATGCTTGCAAAGTTATACGGAGAAGTATACAGTGGCAGTATAAATGGGTATAGTTTCTGGGAATTTGTCTGGTAATATGTAGTAATAACCATAAAATCATCAGATTCTTTTATCTAAAAATTCTAATTCTGACAGTTTGTCAAAAACAAACAAGCAAAAAAAAAAAACTAGATTTGTTGGATATTATAGAGCATTGTTACACAGAGAAGGAGAAAAAGCCCCCAACAGGGCTACCATACATATATCAATTAGTGCAATATTAAGCAGTTATTAAAATGAGAAATATAGAAAAGAGAGATAGGAAAAATCGTCATAACGATTTACATGCATATTGAACATGCTACATTTTTGAAAAATATACATATACAGAGGTTATAAGAGGCAATAGAGAGTATGTTAAGGTGGAATTTTTTTTTTTCAGTAGAGTTGTTGAAACATGCAAACCAAAGGAAGTCTAAGAGACCAACAATCCTTTCCATACTGGGTTTAAATGAATTCATGTCCTTTCCAGTTACGTTCTAGAACAACTGCTAACCGCGATGGCTAATCCCCAAGCAGGCAGCATGCTTTGGGAGGTAGCTTATAGGAAGAAGCTTGGAGAAAGAACTTGTTATTTTCCACAGAAGCGTGTGGGCACCGATGTTTTTCCCAGACTTTGATGTGAAGAGTGAGGATGTTAACGTTTTTAGGCATTCCCTTCTCGAAGGTCTCTCCTGTCCCTGTACAAAGGCAGAAGTTATGCGTGGGGGGCGGGTTAGATCACCCACGTGACTCATTCAGTGTGTTTGCCCACCTGACCAATGCTGTGACTCTGGGCAAGTTGTCTAACCTAAGTCTCAGTTTCCTCATTTGTAAAATGGGGATGACAATATCCACCTCAAAGGGTTGTTGTTTAGATGAAACGAGATACTATATATGAAAACATCTGGTACAGTGTCTGGCTTCCAGAAAGGGCCCCGCAAGTGGTAGCTGTTATCACTGTTTTTGTTAATTATCATTACGGTCTTTCCAGGAAGTGTTTCTGCACTGCCAGGTCCTTGTCTGTGGACGGCTGGACGAGCATTCCCGCTGTGCCCAGGGCTGCCACCGGCGAATGCGCCGTGAGGCAGTGGAAGGAGAGGACACAGCTGGTCCACAGAGCCAGATGCTGACAGGCGGCCCGATTAACATCGACTGGGAGGACTAGGACCACCCAACACCCGACTCCTGGCTCTGGGTTGCCCACCTCTTTGGAATTACTCCCCTCTGAGAACATCAGTCAACACCTTCGAACATGGCACTTCTTTAAACCTCATACTGTGGGTTTCGACAGACTCCCAGAACTGACTCATTCTGACTCGGCCCCTGGGTTGGGAAAGAGCACTTCACTGCTGACCTGACCTGACCCACGTGGGGCTTCATCCTCCTGACGTTGAAAGCTACACTGTCCCTTCAGAAAGCAGCTCACTCCATTTCCCACGTTTCTTTCCTTACAATAAAACACCTAGTGTAGGATGCAATAGGACAACTACAGTCAAAAGTTGGGCATGATACTTCACACTACAAACTTGAAATAAATAGTTGCTTGAAATTATGACTTAAATACCCAATGACTCCTTAAATATGTAAATAGTAATTGTACCCTGAAATTTCAATTCAAACACAGAATAGTCATGGGGGATTTGGAAGTTTATCAATATAAGTGTGTACTAAAAATTACTATTGGGTTTTCCTCTTGCATGATGTTTTCTTCTTTGATGTTTTTATATTATCTTAAGTGAAATATTTTCAATTAATAAATATTAATAAATTTATCGACATGCAGGGCACCTGGGTGGTGCAGTGGGTTAAGCGTCCGACTCTTGGTTTTAGCTCAGGTTGTGATCTCAGGGTCATGAGATCAAGCCCCATGTCAGTCTCCATTTAACGTGGAGTCTGCTTGAGATTCTCTCTCCGTCTGCCCCTCCTACTCCCCTAAAATAAATAAATAAATAAATCTTTTAAGAATGTATTAACATGCATTTAAGAGGTTCAATGACTGAACTGTAGACAAAATTAAAATTTGGTACCATATGCCCTGTTATTTGGCATTCTATGCCCTCAGACTGATAAGGCAATAGAAAAAGGTGTAAAATTATACCATAGTCTATTTTTTAAGTAGATGCTTAATAAATTTTATTGAAATAAATATAAACCACAGGGATGAATTTTATATGCAATTAAATCCAATTTCTTAATATGCCAATTAATTTTATGGCTTTACATAAGATCAGGAAACAGTTTTTCTTCTTGTTCTTCTTAGAAATGGCTATCATCAACAATTCTTAACGGAACCAGGAAAATTGACAAAAGGAAGGAAAAAGACAGAATGACCTAGGTCAGCAATTGGCCAACTTTTTCTGTCAAGGGCCAAATGGTAAACATTTTAGGCTTTCTGGCCAAACAGTCTGTCACAACTATTCAGCTCTGAGGTGGTAGCACAGGAATGGCCATAAACAAATGAGAACATGGTTGTGGTCCAATTAAACTCCACAGAAGCAGATGTCAGGCCTGATTTGAGCTTCATTTTCCAATCCCTGACCTTAGTGGACCTCAGCCTTCCCAGTGCATCAGAATCAGGTGGGGAGCATTTATAAAACACCAATAGGCAGATACCACCCCCAGAGATTCTTTGTTTTTTAATGCTCCTCTGGTGATTCTAATCTGCAGTCAGGGTTGAGAACCATAGTTTAGGGATTGACCATTTGCGTCCCCTCAGATTTCAGGGACTTTTCCTAGCTATCTTCAGTGGCAATTTTTTACCACATGCTTCTCAGATCTTAACATGACACTAACACCACTTAGGAATTGGGAATATCAACAGGAATAGTTCATTGAGGAAAGAATTGAACCTCAGAGACCTAACTCCATCTGACCTCACCTTCATTGGCCTTAACCAGGTAAGTCTCTGACTTTGCCCACCTGTTCTCATCTCTCCAGCACCAGTGGGAATGATGGTTATCATTGGTGGAACTTACCAGGAAGGGTTCTGTTCTCTTCTAAGTGAAATGGAAGCACATTGGTGATAATGGAATTCATTCATCTCTTTTCTAAAAAGTACACTTTATTAAATGTGAGATGCTTACTGGCAACTGAAACATGGACCAGAGGAAAGTCCTTGCCTCCCACATGGTTGGACTCTGCAAAACTTCACTTATGAATATAATTACCAAGTCCAGGAATCCCAGTATTTTAGTCTTTATTTTAGTCTTTAAACTAAGAACTGAATTGCCAGGCAAATATGTCTTGGTTGGGGAGACCATTGTCAAATGAAGAGTAGTCTTCAAATCACTCCATGGCTTCTTTCCAATTCTCCTCAAAGGATGGGACTCACTTCTCAGCTGTAGAACAAGGCTTTCTTTCTCTTGCTTTGTGGTATCCAAACTTCTGGAAGCAAGGATGAGATTGCTCACTCTGCCACACTACCATCTCAGAGACTGACAGCCATGGCGTCACTCAAAACCAGGAAGGGATCACCTCTTTCTCATAACTCTGCCTTCTCCTCTTCCGCACAGATGCAGGCTGCCCGTTGGCTATTCATAAAAGGTCGGCAGCCCAAGGTCCATACAGTATTGAACACAGTATCAGCCAGAGAATCACAGGCTACTTGAAAAAGATGAAGAGAAATAAAAGGTTAACATACAAGACTACCTCAGGTAGTTTGAGTAATTTTAAGAAGCAATGTAATTCCAAGGATAACATGACATCTGGAGGAAAGTAAAGGCAGTAATCCAAATACAGAATTAAAAAGAAAAACATACATTTAAGAGAAGCTTTTTCGTAAGCTTCCATCCCATCTAATAAAGCAGAATATACTTTGGGGTACCCTTCTTTTATGGGCCTCCAGGTCAAAATCATGTTTAGCAATCAGAATGTCCCATACCACTATGCTCACTCCATGGAAACTCTACCATTTTTGCAGAATATTCCCTCAGATAACTCTGTTTCCTATAGCTTTCTCTGTTCAAGTGTGGGATGAATAACTATTCACTCATTGAAAAACCATGTGTGTTGGTCAATAATTCTCTTAGGCATCAGGGATACAAAGACCAAAGTGACCCCTACCTAAGTACTCACAGTTTGGACAAAGAGGTAGACAGGATGGATAGGTAAACAAATGGTTACACTACACCATGATGGAAGTGAAATCAAGGTTGTATGGGAACCCACAGAAAGACTCTCTATCCCTCTGGGGTAAGAGTTATTAGGGAAGGCATCTCAGAACACCTTCCATTAGAATTTTGATAGAGATTACATTGAATCTGTAGATTGTTTTGGGTAGTATGCGCATTTTAAGAATATTAATTCTTTTAATCTGTGATCACAGAATATCTTTCCATTTATTTGTGTCATCCTCAATTCTTCCATCAATGTCTTATAGTTTTCAATGCACAGGTCTTTCACCTCCTTGGTTAAATTTATTCCTGGGTATTTTATGCTTTCAATGCAATTGTAAATGAAAATTTTTAAAATTTTTCTCTCTGATAATTCATTATTAGTGTATAGAAACAAAACTGATTTTTGTATATTAATCTTGTATCCTGTGACTTTACTGAATTTATTAGTTCTAACAGTTTTTTTGGTGGAGTTTTTAGGGTTTTACATATATGATATCACATCATCTGCAAATAGCAATAGTTTTACATCTTCCATTTTTTTATTTAAAAAATTTTTTAAATTTTATTATGTTAATCACCATACATTGCATCATTAGTTTTTGATGTAGTGTTCCATGATTCATTGTTTGTGTATAACACCCAGTGCTCCATTCAGTATGTGCCCTCTTTAATATCCAGCACCAGGCTAACCCATCCCCCCACCCTCTCCCCTCTAGAACCCTCAGTTTGTTTCTCAGAGTCCACCGTCTCTCATGGTTTGTCTCCCCCACCGATTTCCCCCCCTTCCATTTCAATTTCGATGTCTTTTATTTCTTCTTTTTGCCTAATTGCTCTGGCTAGAATACTTCCAATACTATATGAAATAAAAGTGGTGAAAGTGGGTGTTCTTGTCTTATTCCTGATCATAGAGGGAAAGCTTTCAGCTTTTCTCCATTAAGCATGATGTTAGCTGTGGGTTTGTCATGTATGGCCTTTCTTATGTTGAGATATGTTCCCCTCTACCTATTGTGTTGAGAGTTTTTTTTACCACAAATCGATATTGAATTTCATTAAATGCTTTTTCTGCATCTATTGAGATGACTATATGATATTTATCCTTCATTTTGTTAATGTGGTGTATCACATTGTCTGGTTTGCTGAAGTTGAACCATTCTTACATCTCTTGAATAAATCCCACTTGATTATGATGTACAATCCTTTTAATGTATTTTTGAGTTAGGTCTGCTAAAGTTCTGTTGAAGATTTTTGCATCTATGTTCATCAGGGATATTGACCTCTAATTTTCTTTTCTTGTGGTGTCCTTGTCTAGTTTGGGTATGAGGGTAATGCTGGCCTCATAGAGTGAGCTTGGAAGTGTTCCCTCCTCTTCTATTTTTTGGAAGAGTTTGAGAAGGATTGGTATTAATTTTTTTAAATGTTGAAGCCATTTAAATGGATGATTAATTCTTTAAATGTTGAAGCCACTTTAAAAGTCCATCTTTTTCATTTGTTGGAAGATTTTTTGATTGCTAACTCGATCACCTTACTAATGATCAGTCTATTCAGATTCTACTTTTTCATTATTCAGTCTTGGTAGGTTGTGTGTTTCTAGGAATTTACCCATTTCTCCTCCGTTGTCCAACTTGTTAGCATATAATTATTCATAGTAGTCTCTTGTGATCCTTTGTATTTCTGTGGTATCAGTTGAAATGTCTCATCTTCCATTTCTGATTTTATTTATTTGAGTTCTCTTTTTTTCTTAGTGAGTCTAGCTACAGGTTTGCCTATTTTGTTCATCTTTTTTAAAAAAGCTCCTACTTTCATTTATCTTTTCTATTGTTATTTTAGCCTTCATTTCATTTATTTCTGCTCTGATCTTTGTTATTCCCTTTCTTCTACTAACTTTGGGCTCCATTGCTTTTCTTTTTCTAATTCCTTGAGGTGTACAGCTAGAGTTTGTTCAAGATCTTTCTTTTTTTTCTTGATATAGGCATTTATGGCTGTGAATTTCCCTCTTAGAACTATTTTTGCTGCATCTCATAAGTTTAGGTATGTTGTATTTTCATTCATCTCAATATTTTTAAAAAAGATTTATTGTTTTAGAGAGAGAGAGCTGGGGGAGGGGCAGAGGGAAAGAATCTCAAGCAGACTCTCTGCTAAGTGCAGAACCCGATGAAGGGCTCAATCTCATGACTCTGAGATAGACCATGACCTAGCCAAAATCAAGAGACAGATGCTGGGGTGCCTGGGTGGCTCAGTCAATTAAGTGTCCAACTCTTGATTTTGCCTCAGGTCATGATCTCAGGATCAAGATCAAGCCCCACCTCAGGCTCTGTGAAAGGCAGGGAGTCTGCTTGGGATTCTCTCTCTCCCTCTCCCTCTAACCCTCCCCCACACACTCTCTCTCTCTCTAAAGTAAAAATAAATAAATCTTAAAAAAAAAAAAGAGTTGGACACTTAACTGACTGAGCCACTCAGGTGCCCCTCAATATTTTTTTTTTATTTCTCTTTTGATTTCTTCTTTGGCCCTTTGGTTGTTTGGTACCATTTGTTTATTTGCTCTCTACATTGCTTTCCCCACTTCTAGTCAATATTGTACTGGAAGTTCTAGACAGGACAACTGGCAAGAGGAATACGTAAAAGGCATCCAAATTGGAAAGGAAGATGATATGTAGATGGCATTATCTTGTGTATAGAAAAACCTAAGGAATCCACTAAAATCTATTAAAATTAATAAGTGAGTTGAGCAAGGTTGCAGGATAATAGATCAATATGCAAAATCAGTTGTATATATATATGTATACATATTTATACAACATACATATACATATATATATTTTTGTACATTATTAATAAAATAAAATTAAGAAAATTTTATTTACAATAATAACAAAATGAATAAATTAATACTTATGAATATATTAAACAAAAGAAGTGTAAGACTTGTGTTCTGAAAACTATAAAACATTGTTGAAAGAAATTAAAGAAAATCTAAGTAGGGCGCCTGGGTGGCTCAGTTGGTTAAGCGACTGCCTTCGGCTCAGGTCATGATCCTGGAGTCCCTGGATCGAGTCCCGCATCGGGCTCCCTGCTTGGCAGGGAGTCTGCTTCTCCCTCTGACCCTCCCCCCTCTCATGTGCTCTCTCTCATTCTCTCTCTCTCAAATAAATAAATAAAATCTTTAAAAAAAGAGAGAGAATCTAAGTAAATGGAGAATTCATGTTCATTGATCGGAAAACATAATTTTGTTAGGATGGTAATATGCCTCAAATTGATCTACAGATTTAACAAAAGCCCTATCAAAATTCCAGCTGCCATTTCTTTCAGAAATCGACAAGCTGAACCTAAAATTCATATGGAAATGCAAAGCATCCAGAATACCCAAAACATTCTTGGAAAAAGAAGGACAAAGTTGAAGGACACTTCCCGATTTCAAAGTTTACCACAAAACCACAGTAATAAAGACGGTGTGGCACAGGCATAGATCAATGGAATAGAATTGAAGGTATAGAAATAAACACTGCATTTATATTCAATTGATTTTTGATAAGGGTGCAAAAACAAATGTGAGGAAGAATAGTCTTTCAGCAATATGCAGGAACATCTGTATATACACACACACAGAAGAATGAAGTTGGACCTCTTTCTTACACCATATGTAAAAATTAACTAAAAGTAGATCATAAACCTAAATGTATAAGCTAAAACAAAACTCTTAGAAGAAGAAACTCTTAGAAGACCAAATCTTTGTGACCTTGGGTTAAGCAAAGCCTTCTTACATATGACACCGAAAGTAGAAGCAACAAAAGAAAAAAATAGATAAATTGCACTTAATCAAAATGGAAAACTTATGCATTACAAGTAATTTCATCAAGAAAGTAAAAAAACCCCACAAAGTGGGAGAAAATATTAGTGAAATCTATATTCAATAAGGGATGTGTGTCCAGAATATATAAAGAAAGCTTACAACTCAATAATAAAAAGACAAGTAACCCAACTTAAAAAGAGGCAAAGGATCCAAATAGACATTTCTCCAAAGCAGATATTTAATGGCCAATAAGCACATAAAAAGATGCTCATCATAAGCAATCAGGGACATGCAAATCAAAACCACAATGAGATACAATTTCACACTCACTGGGGTCTATAATTAAAAAGACAGAGGGGCACTTGACTGGCTCATTGGAAGAGCATGTGATTCTTGATCTCGGGGCCATGAGTTCAAGCCCCATGTTGGGTGTGGAGATTGCTTAAGTAAATAAACTTTAAAAAAAACTGATAATAACAAGGGTTGGTAAGGATGTAGAGAAATTGGAACTTTAATACATTGCTGGTGGGAATGTAAAATAGTACAGCTGTTTTGGAAAACAGTTTGTCATAAAATTACCATTATAACCCAGAATTCCCCTCCTAGATATATACTCAAGAGAAATGAAAAAATATGTCTCCACAAAAACCCATACATCAATGTTCATACCAGAATTGTTCATAATAGACAAAAGGTGGAAACAACCCAAATGTCCTTCATTTGGTGAATAAAGAAAATACATTATATCCATGTAATGGAATATAGTTTAGCAATAAAAAGGAATGAAATACTGATACATGCTACCCCATGGATGAACTTTGCTGAGTTAAAGAAGCCAGTCACAGAAGACCACATATTTTATGATTCCATTTATATGAAATGTCCAGAATAGGCAAATCAATAGAGGTAGAAAGATTTATGGCTGTCAAGGGCCGGGTAGGGGAAAGGTGGAGTGGGCTTGCTCGTGGCTATGGGATTTCCTTTTGGAGTGTTGAAAATGTCCTAAAATTGATTGTGGGGCTGACTGCATAGTTCTCTGAACATATTTTAAAAGCATTTAAATTGTTCAATTGTATAGTATGTGAATTATATCTCAATAAATCTATTTAACAACAACAACAAAAATGATCAGAATGTTCCAAGCAGAGGGAACTATAGAGGCAGAAGGATATGGTCCACCAACCCAAGGAGTTTGGAATGGCAGAAGTCAGGAGAGAAATCAGAAATATGCATGATGCTGCTGGAGAGGTAGGGTAATGGATGAGAAAAGGCTACATATATCATACTAAGGAGTTTGGATTTAATCCCAAGGAAGAGGAACCAGTTGAAGGACTTACACAGAGGGTGGAAATGACTGGATTCATGTGGTACAAAAATATATCTGGTCCCTCTGGGGAAAAATAGATTGGATGGGACCCAGAGATTTGATTAACTTGCAATAATCAGGCAAGTGGTATATCAAAGAGATATTTAGGAGAAAGAATCAATAGAACGTTGCTTAGAGGAAGTAACTTGACCTGACCCTAGATTAGCAGCAGGTACTTATTCACCTTTTGTAGGTACAGATAGTGTAATACTCCCTTTTATGGGGCCTAATTAATTATTCATATTTTCAAGCCTTCACACATTCCCTTTAGGACTACACTCTAGACATCGATCTATGAAAACAGTCCAAGATTCTTTCTACTGCTGACATTCTAGTGGCATGAGGCCAGCTCCTTATAAGCTTAAATGTCAAACTTTGCCATCTAAAGATATATAATGCTAATACCTGGATGTAATGTTCTGGCTTTGGAAACTAAAGGATTAAAGCTTTTCCTAAGGTGAATTAGAGAAAAGAAATTACACAATCAGCGCTAGAAACTGGGTGGCTAAGCAGTTGTTTAAAATAATTATCCTCAAGTATACAGAGAGCTTTATACAAAAAGATAGATTTTTAAAAATTCTTTGCCAAACTGAGAACAAAATAAGGAAAAAAGAGCTTACACCAAACCAAGTGGTCCTATACAGAATAACTCCTGATACGGAAAATTATTTAATAGTGGAATGCATAACAAAAGCCAGTTGGGCAACTCTTTCTCCGGTCTTAAAGGACAGATTTTTAGATCTCTGGGACGGCTTTGGTGTGGCCTGTCCATCAGGAGTGTGGCCAGCAGCTCCTGGGCAGGACAGCAAGAACTTTAGTAAAGGAATGCCCAGAATCTTCCTTCGCCCTTCTTATGTTTGTCACAGTGTTCTAGAAAGAAAGTTCAGTGAGCTCTAATGGTCCCTTTGCATAAAGGGGCTCTGGATACATTTCTGTATGAAAACAGGAACAGAACTCCCTGCTCACACACCGATGCCCTTAAGATACCTACCTTCCACGTTGGAGACAAAGCCCAGACTCCGCTTCAGGTCAGAACAGATAGAGTGGAGACACCATCGGAATTTTGCGTCACAACGATACTTATTGGCACCGCAAGTATCATAACAGACGTCCAGCTGGTTGCAGCACTTGGTCATTGCTGGAATGCCCAAGTCCATCTGGGGAAAAGTGAAGGAAGAAAACGCCACGTTTAGACTAAGGACCTTAGGCAACCTTGCCCTCCTTGTTATGAACTAGCCAGTCCTCAAATTCCCGTTATACATTCAGATCAATTCCAAAACACCAGTCTCTCGGGAGAACACATCTGGTTGACAGTCACGGATGTTAAGTTTCAATCATGGTTCAGTTATTAGTTTATGAACTCTGAATAGCCCATTTTCTCTTTTTCTTTTAGAGGTAGTAATTTTCAAATTCGCAGGCCACTATAGGGATGAGAATAGAGATCAGAAGGTTAGTGAAGAAGGTAGAGCTGCAGGACTTCCAAATCCAACTAAAACATATGCTATGGGAGATTTTGCTTGAGCCAAGGATCTGAAAGCTCAGAAGTATGAAAAATTAAGCCTCAGTTCATCAAGAGTTCACCAGCATTTATCAGGGACCCATCCCACACAGCACTGTTTTAAAGGTGTGTTACGTGTCAGGGAGCAGGGTGGGCTCTAGCAGGCGTGGTTCCCGACCGCAGGCTGGCTACAGTCAACGGCGAGATCTGACACACACACACAGACATGTATTAAGCATCCTATAAACAGTTGCAATTGTTGTGGCATAAACTGAGTAACGAGGTTCATAGGATGCCACATCTAGAGTTTGATAACTCTACATGGGTTTTTTTGGAGAGGCTTATTAGTGATGAGGGTAGACTTAGGGTGTAGCAGGTAAAGAAAGGAGATATGAGCAAATCATATGTGAGCAAGTCAGTTTGTTTAGTCTTTCAAGGGCTTAGCAGGGATGTATTTGTTTGTTTGTTTATTACTTTTTAATTAGAGAGAAAGGCAAGTCAGTGGATGGCCCTGACTTTCAAAGTAACCGGTAAGAATTGATAAAAACTCTGGAGCAAGGCAGGGACATGATGGAATGAATGACTACAGAGAGTGATCGTTCTGTGGTCTGTGCAATAGTCTGGAACAGGGGCGTTGAGACATAGGTAGAGCATCTTAGAATCTGACATAGGTAGAGCATCTTAGAATCTTTTGCGAGGCAGGGACATGATGGAATGAATGACTACCGAGAGTGATCGTTCTGTGGTCTGTGCAATAGTCTGGAACAGGGGCGTCGAGACATAGGTAGAGCATCTTAGAATCTTTTGCGGTTCTTCTGTTCATAGACTTGGACCCAAGGGGAGACTGGAAATCTGGTTTCGCAGTATAAGTGGGGATTGATTGATTAATCAGCTATTATAGATCCTTTTCACTTGGGTCTCCTTAAGTGGTCCCTTCTTTGAACTTTTACTCCAAGGACACCTAAAGCAAAATATGGACATTGATAGTTTAAAATGCCCTTCTGAGAGAAAGAAAAGAAAACACATTGTTACATTAAGAGGCCAACCATTTGTACATTTCCATAGAGGTTTCAATACCACTTCCATAGTTACTAAATTGGTATCGAGTATATTTGCCAAAAAGGGGGATTTCTCTAATATAAATATATATTTGAAAAGATTGCCTTTCCTCTGTGTCCATGCACATACTGATGACTGTGGACAAGGCTGGGCCCACGGTTGTGCAGGTTGTGCAGTGCGCAAAAGCATCCTATCAAAGGGGGCACCTCCCCACAAGACATCACAGATTTGTATATTTATTAAGAAAAATGTCTAGCCAGGGCGCCTGGGTGGTGTAGTTGGTTAAGCGTCTGACTCTTGGTCTTGGCGCAGGTTATGATCCCAGGGTCGTGGGATCCAGCCACTTGTTGGGCTCTGCATTTAGCACGAGTCTGCTTTAGATTCTCTCTCCCTCTCCCTAATGCTCCTCCTCTCGCTCTCTTGCTCTCTCTCTCGCAAACAGATAAATAAATCTGTTAAAAAAAAAAAAGAAAAATGTCTAGCAAATGGCAAATTTCCTCTCCTCTCCTCAGTACATTAGGATAAATTTCTGACAAATGGAAGGGGCAAGGGGACATTTTCCCAATTTGCACAAAAATGCCACAATGGTGGGCAGCATTTTGTTTTTAAAGATTTTATTTATTTATTTGAGAGAGAGAGAGCATAAGCAGGAGGAGCAGCAGAGGGAGAGGGAGAAGCAGACTCCCCGCTGAGCCGGGAGCCCGATGTAGGGCGCAATCCCAGGACCCTGGGATCATGACCTGAGCCGAAGGCAGACGCTTAACCGACTGAGCCACCCAAGCACCCCAGTGGGCAGCATTTTTGATAGAAGAAAAAACATTTTGCTGCTTAGAAGACTATTACAAAGTAAAATCTTTTGAATCAGCGGAAAAGTGAAGTTGAGCCTGACTAAGGCAGAATTCAAAATCATAGCTTAGGTGTGAAATCCCTCTACCTACCTTTTACATAACACCTCTTTTCTGAAGTAAAAAAGATAAAAGGGCCTCCAAGAGGTCTTAAAATCAATCAGTTTATTACTTGTTTTCAGGGGAGGCCAGTGGTTTGACAAACGGCCAGCAGTAGGAAGAGAAATGTTGAGCCAGCGGTTAGATTGGGGGGTGTGGGGGGGGGCTGGATGCTTGTATGTGGGTGGGTATGTGTAGAATCCTATGGTCTTAGTACTCTAAGCATAGTTGGTTTGATGCTACCAGCTTGATCTCAACCACTTGCCAAAGTCTTCGCTGGTCAGTGCCAAAGGCTCCAGCACATCATGGGAAAAGTCTCACTAAATTTAAATAAGTCAAACTTGTCAGATTTCATATGAAGTGATGTTTGATCCCCTACGATTTGGCTGATACTTGCAGTGGTGATTTTAAAGTTCACCACATAAGGTCTTATCTGAGGAGCGCTGCCTCTGATAAAAGGAAATCAGATACTTTCTTTGAAAATTATCTCCCTTACTCTGTATCTAATTTTTTTTAAGATCTCATTTATTTATTTGTCAGAGAGAGAGAGAGAGCACAAGCAGGGGGAGCAGCAGGCAGAGGGAGAGGGAGAAGCAGGCTCTCTGCTGAGCAGGACTTGATCCCAGGACCTTTGGATCACGACCTGAGCCAAAGGCAGATGCCTAACCGACCGAGCCACCCAGGCATCCCTCCAATTTAAAGCAATTTTACTGCTCAGCCATATTCCATAAATGATCACTCCCATCAGGGATAACTCTTGGACTTGCCTTAGTTAAAACCAATCAACTAAGAAAATAATGATGGTGGTACGTACACTTTCTGGTACCTTAAGACCCAGGAAATAGGAGCTGCAGCCATTGGGCTCCTGAGGCTTGTAGCCAGGTCTGGGCATGGGTGCCTTTCCTAGCAGGAGAAAGAGAGGAAAGAAGCAGAAAGAAATATTTAGAAATTAAGCATTTGGGAACATGCATCAAATAAAAATTATCTAAAAGCATATGCAATTTTTCCTTTAAAAGTCATCATTCACATCCCAATTAGGTGGTAATTGATGGTGATGGTGATGATGATGATAATGTCATAAAAGGGTAACAATCTTCAGACTAGTTTGGCATTTTTCTCCTAATCTCAAAGAATTTTATGAGCATTCATTTACTAACGATTCTAATGTTTTGTTTTGTTTTTATTTTTTTCTTTTCTAATTTTTATTTTTTATTCTTTTCTTTTATTTAAAATCAATTAATTAACATACAGTGTATTATTAGTCTCAGAGGTAGAGTTCAGTGATTCATCAGTTGCCTATAACACTCAGTGCTCAGTACATCACGTGCCCTCCTTAATGCCCATCACCCCTGTTACCCTCCACCTCCAACAACCTCAGTTTGTTTCCTGTAGTTAAGAGTCTCTTATGGTTTGTCTTCCTCTCTTATTTCGTCTTGTTTGATTTTCCCCTCCCTTTCCCTATGATCATCTGTTTTGTTTCTTAAATTCCACATATGAGTGAGATCATATGATATTTGTCTTTCTCTGACTGACTTATTTTACTAAGCATAATACCCTCTAGTTCCATTCACTTCATTGCAAATGGTAAGATTTCAATTTTTTGATGGTGGAGTAATATTCCATTGTGTATATATAATACCACAACTTCTTTATCCATTCATCTGTTGATGGACATCTGGGGTCTTTCCATAGTTTAGCTATTGTGGACATTGCTGCTATAAACATTGGGGTGCATGTGCCCCTTTGAATCACTATGTTTGTATCCTTTGGATAAATACCTAGTACTGCAATTGCTGGTTCATAGCGTAGCTCTATTTTTAACTTTTTGAGGAACTTTCATATGTTTTCCAGAGTGGCTGCACCAGTTTGCATTCCCACCAACAGTGGGAGTCGAGTGTGATAGAGTTCAAGTTTTAAAGCATTGTGATCTAAAATATGCAGGGAATAATCCCAATCTTTTGGTACCAGTTGAGACCTGATTTGTGACCCAGTATGTGATCTATTCTGGAGAATGTTCCATGTACAGTCAAGAAGAATGTATATTCTGTTGCTTTAGGATAGAATGCTCTGAATATATCTGTGAAGTCCATCTGGTCCAGTGTGTCATTCAAAGCCCTTGTTTCCTGTTGATCTTCTGCTTAGATGATCTGTCCATTGCTTGAGTGGGGTGTTAAAGTCCCCTACTATTATTGTATTATTATCAATGTGTTCCTTTAATTTTGTTATTAATTGGTTTATACAATTGGCTGCTCCCAAGTTAGGGGCATAAATATTTACAATTTTACAATCCTGGACTTCAAGCTCTATTACAAAGCTGTAATCATCAAGACAATATGGTACTGGCACAAAAACAGACACATAGATCAATGGAACAGAATAGAGAGCCCAGAAATGGACCCTCAACTCTATGGTCAACTAATCCTTGACAAAGCAGGAAAGACTATCCAATGGTAAAAAGACAGTCTTTTCAACAAATGGTGTTGGGAAAATTGGACAGCCACATGTAGAAGAATGAAACTGGACCATTTTCTTATACCATATAAAAATAAACTCAAAATGGATGAAAGGCCTAAATGTGAGACAGGAATCCATCAAAATCCTAGAGGAGAACACAGGCAGCAACCTCTGTGACCTCAGCCGCAGCAACTTCATGCTAGACACGTCTTCAAAGGCAAGCGAAGCAAAAGCAAAAATGAACTTCATCAAGATAAAAAGCTTTTACACCGCAAAGGAAACAGTCGATAAAAGTAAAAGACAACCGACAGAATGGGAGAAGATATTTGCAAATGTCTTATCAGATAAAGGGCTAGTATCCAAAATCTATAAAGAACTTATCAAACTCAACACCCAAAGAACAAATAATCCAGTCAAGAAATGGGCAGAAGACATGAACAGACATTTCTCCAAAGAAGACGTACAAATGGCCAACAGATACATGAAAAAATGCTCAACATCACTTGTCATCAGGGAAATACAAATCAAAACAGCAATGAGATACCACCTCACACCAGTCAGAATGACTATAATAACAAGTCAGGAAATGACAGATGTTGGTGAGGATGAAGAGAGGAACACAAATATATGGAGGTTAAATAGCAAACTACTAAAGAATGAATGGGTCAACCAGGAAATTAAAGAAGAATTTTAAAAAATTCATGGAAACAAATGAAAATGAAAATACCACAGCTCAGAACCTTTGGGATGCAGCAAAGGCGGTCCTAAGAGGGAAGTATATAACAATACAGGCCTTTCTCTAATGTTTCTTAAGTGCATGACTTTGGAGGTGAGGTCCATGGCAAAACAGAACTAAAACTCAAGGTGTCCTGGGGCACCTGGGTGGCTCAGTCGGTTAAGCCTCCGATTCATGATTTCAGTCTCAGGTCATGATCTCAGGGTCATGAGATTGAGCCCCATGTCGGGCTCCAAGCTCAGTGGGGAGCCTGCTTGAGATTCTCTTCCTCTCCCTCTGCCCCTCCCCCAGCTCACGCACATGTTCTCTCTCTAAAATAAAATAAACTCAAGGTGTCTTACTCCTTCATCCACTGTAAGACAAAGCAGAACATTACCTGATCACACACTTAACAAATCAGAACCTTAACAGTACCTCAAAATTTTTTCAGAATAACTTGAAGGAAATTTTGCAAGATTCCATAAATGTAAGCAAAGCATTATTGATCAAAGAGCAAAGAAAACATCACCATGCAGTATTTGAAACTTTGTATCATAGAACTAAGCAGAAACGATCTGGTTTGGCTACATGGCTACATGGCTTTTGAGTTATTTTATAATCTTGCAATTCTGTAGAGAGAAGCTTCGTCCATGTTATCAATGGTAGTCATCACAGGTAAAAAGAAGCTTGCAGGACAGTCGTAACAGTGAATATTTTCCTGTTATCCAGCTAAGGAAAATGGGACTGAGAGGCGTGTGACTTGCCTAAGTCATGCACTGAGTGGGGTAAGTAGCATATAAATCCAGATTTCTTGTTTTATGTCTCCAAAGCCCATGTTCTTCCACCATATTCCTTTGCCCGTTTTTAAGAGATGCAAGACAGAGCATAAGACTGAGGAAATAAGCTAAGAATTAATCCTCAGAGTGAGGCACATAGCATTTCTTTCACCTTCTCCTACAAGGTATTTCATTTTTAATTATTTGATATTATGAAATATTTCAAAACTGAAGAAAAGCCAGAGAAAACAACACCCATGTACCCACTACACAAACATAATAAATGTTAACATAGCCAAACTTGCTATCCATATTTTTTGGTTTAATTAAATGTTACAAGTACAGTTGAAGTCCCCTTGGCACTCCCCTGTTTTAATTTTTAGATACTAAGTCTATGCTTTAAAGCCCTCCCTTATTATCCTTAAAAATAGTTTTGACTATTCTTGGACCTATTGTCTTACAATTGAATTTTAGAGTCAACTTAGTAAATTCTACAAGAGACAGTACAGGATTTTTATTGAAAATACATTGTCTTTATAGATTAATCTGGAGACAGCTGATTTTTCTTAGAATATTCTATCTTCCTAGACGTGGGTATAATACAGTTGTCTATTTACTTGGGTCTTCCTTTATGTCCTTCAATAGAGTATTATAATTTTCACCATATATTTATTCTATCCCCTACATATTGTATTATTCAGGTGCTTAAACAAAATAGAATACATCATAATCCAGAATTAAGGATCATAAGGCTCATATGGCAAATCTGCACTTTTCTGGAACCCAGGCTGCTTCTAGCCTTCTGCTCTACCAGCCCTAGAATGCAACCCTGGCTCTCATGGTTCAAGATGGAGCTTCAGGCAATACATTCATACTGCAAGCAGCAGGATAAAAGGAGGTAGTGGGTCATAGCCCACTCTTTAATAAACACACTCCGGAATGATACACACATCACTTCCTCTTATTTCCCTTTGGCCAGACCTTAATCAAACAGCAATACCTAGTTGTAAAAGTGGGCTAGGAATTGAAGTCTTCTTTCAATGGAGGCATCCATGAGCCCAGCTTAAAATTGGGGAGGAGGGGTTTATTACTATAGAAAAGGGGGAGGATAATAGGGGACACTAAGCAGTCTCTGCCACTGTTTGGTTTTTGTTTCTGTAGTATGACGTGTATATGAGATCATGGTTCAAGATGGCCCCCAGCAATCCCCGTCTCTTGGTGTTCGTGCCCTTGTGTGTTGTCCCAGGGTTGGTCTATGTGACCTAGAGAATATGGCAGAAGTGGAAGTATGTTTCTTCCAAGATGAGGTTATCTATCAGCCCTAGACAACCACTAACCACCTTTCTGTCTCTATAAATTTGCCTATTCTGGACATTTCACATAAATGAAATCATACAATATGTGGCCTTTTCTGTCTGCTTCTTTCACTGAGCATCATGTTTTCAAGGTTCATCCATGTTATAGCATGGATCAGTATTTCATTTTTTTTACTGTCAGTAAGTGTGATGAACATTTAGGTTTTTCCCACTTTTTGGCTATTATGAAAAATGCTACTACAAACATTATTTTGTGTGGACAATATGTTTGCATTTCCCCAGAGGAATAAAACTTCTGGGTCATATGCTAACTCTGTTTAACATTTTGAGGAGCTACCAGACTATTTTCCAAAGTGATGGCACAATTTTACATTCTCCACAGCAATGTATAAAGGTTCTAATTTCTCCACATCCTCTCCCCCACTTGTTATAATCTGTCTTTTTTTTTTTTTAAGATTTTATTTATTTATTCATGAGAGACAGAGAGACAGAGGCAGAGGGAGAAGCAGGCTCCCAAGGAGCAGAGAGCCCGATGCGGTTCTCGATCCCAGGACCCTGGGATCACGACCTGAGCCGAAGGCAGACGCTTAACCTTCTGAGCCACCCAGGCACCCTATAATCTGTCTTTTTGATTACAGCCAT